GGAGCTCATCGACTGAGTCCATTGGCAGAGGCAAAGAACTGATGGTAACTGTCCTGGCACTGACCAAGTAACGATCCAGGAGCCTTCACTCAACTCCATAGCACGCATTTGTTCGCGCATACGAACGAACTCATACGTCAGCTGATCGAGATGGACTGCAGCTGGCTACTAACAGATACATCACAACTTACTACAAACAGCATTGTTGGAGTAATTCGCTGTGTCGTGCAATATCTCCGTAGCGAAGGATGTTTGACAACAACGGTCACAACTGTGAGACTACGTCGAGGAAATGTTGTTACCTTATACTCCCTGTTTGCTTGGGAGCTTCATTTTCCTTGTTACACTACAGCGACTATGCCAAATCCAACCTGGGTGTTGAGAGTGATTACTCGATGTCCAAGCTGTATGCCGCAGTTGTACAAGACTTCTTTAGAGGAGTTTCGCATTCTGGGAAATGAACAAGCATGCTAAAAATAAATATGGTTGAATTTGTGAATAAATATATATTTTCGAGTGTACATGGGAAACACCATCGAATGCCTGTTCAATTTGTACAACCAGCAATTTTCTGACTGTGAGGGCAATAGTTGTATTCATGGCTAAATTAGTATGCTGCCTAATGGTGCCATCCTAGCGTCGTGACAGACTGCAATCTACGCGTGTTAGCACGAATTTGTTTTTATGAACCCATGAAGGGCGGATTTTCAGCTGTGACACACACGCGATCGAAGCGATAAAGCAAACAACACTGTAAACTCATAATGTGCTCCTGGCCGTGTGATTCCCTTTAGCAGTGAAAGCCGCCTTAGTAAAGCTCACGGGCTTGTTGAAAGCCAGTCATGAGGCGACAACAGCTTTCTTCGCTATAGCAATATGGCTCCCATCGACCGGTCATCAGATACGACCAGGCTGTTTTTCTCAGTTGTTAGCACAGCGACACAGTTCGCAGAAAACCCTTTTGCTGGCTTTTCACCTACACGTAGGCCGACTACCGATCGATCGAAGCATGCCACTTTCCGTGTGGCTATGTGGTATCCGGATCACGTCCAATTCTCACAGCTAAACGGCGTGCGTTCCTTAGGTCTTGCCATGCGGTCGAGGCATGACGCATTCACTGCGGCTGTGGTGTCTGGCTAACGTTCACTTCGCACAGTGTGTGCTCTGCGATCGTAGGCACACATGTGGCGTCTGTGTTCCATCTCACTCCTGCCGGCAAAGCAATTTATGCCATTGGACAGATAGCAATTCGGAGTACCGGTTGTACGTCAGCACCTGAGTGCAGCCGCTCCTAGCTCTCGACCACATTAACATAATTCCCTGGAGCAACCCAACCACCCAGCGGATTTTCTAATTCTATTTTTTTCTATTCATTGTATCTGAATTACTTGAGGACCTATGTGTCATAACTTTTGGCGTCCGCTGTTCACCACTGTTCTCTTGTTTTTAACGCAGTTCAGGCTATTTCTACTTGAGATGTCTAATCCTGGTGAACCTGCGGCTGTGGGTTGCCAGTTTTTGGATCTGCAACACCAAAATATTTCCATTTTACCTACGGTCCTTCTGATCCGATTGACCGAAGTCCACCTCAAACGAACCGGGTTCTCAAATGAGTTGCTTGTAGCAAGAAAACTACACATCGGATTCTCTAAGTCCAACTTTGAGTTTATTTTCATTTTGACTCATGCTTATGACCGCTGTTGTATTGTTGGCACTCCCGCCATACAGCCCATCTCAGCTTTAGCTTTCTTAAGCTCCGTGCTTTTAGTTTTCGTAATTGAGATTTTGGCATTAAGTCATGCGTAGATGGGCCACTTAGACTGTAAGTTTTAATCCATCACCTCAGGGAACGGCACAGCCGCGGCTCATGAAGAAAGGTGGCATATATATATATATATATATATATATATATATATATACATATATATATGCTTAAAGAACCATCAGGAAAAATAAATGGCTATTGCTTGACTGTTGTCCGCCTCAAATCGTACATATGTTAAATAGAAATCAAATAAGCACCCAAAGTGTTCATAAAAATAGAGATCTCAAATGATAAGTAAAATGGATCAAACAGCTACGAGCGATCGCAATGGAGGAAGATCGATGCGGCGAGTGCCTTCGCAAGAAATTGAAAACGGCCATGGGTACCCTAGTTGTTTCATTTGGGTAAACAGATAAACTTTTACCAATGTAGAGCAAGTGTAGAGAATAGTGCAACAAACTGGGAAACGTTTCCGCCTTACGCACTGCTCACGCTGATCTAGCCTCAGATCCATCTAAAACGGTCAAAAATTTTGTTTCACAATGAGAATTTTCCTGTACCTTGGAAACTTCTTGCTCGTTACTTGTCTTTCAACGAGTTTAACTTCATTGGACAATTGTAGGAATTGGGTTAACAAGGTTTCCAGCAGACCGATTTATTCGCTCGCTCTGACGCAGTGTTGCAGCTGGTTCACTATAAATTAGTATTGTACTGCCAAAAAGTTCCTGCATAGTTGCAACGCGTACGTCTACTTACAAATAATACTCATGCTGTTTCTTAAGTTATAGTGACCATGCTCCCAAACTTTGACTGGTTATTTTTTCTGAAGCTGAGATGATGTATTAGTTTGTAAACGAAAACTAGGTTCATCTTTAATACTTGTGAATATCACCGAGGTTGTGAGTCCTTGCGTAGCCCATCTAGATGTTAGCTCTCACGGGTTTTCTTGATGTGGTACTCAATTCACAAATGGTAATTACTTTGTCTGGATTATCAAAACATGCATTCTTGACTCCCCACTTGACTAGACCTCGGTCGGGCATGTTTAATGGTGCATACGCAACACCATATTCTTGGCCTTTACCTATCCACCCGGAAGGATAATGCATTAGAGTTGCTGCAGATTAGCGTTGCTTGCCGTGGTCGGCATGAACCCCCTTGATTTGCTTCAAATAGATGAGGGAAGTGGATGACACTGAGACAGTTTGGTCTGCAATACCTCATGCCATCAGCTGAATGACGACAATTGAAGTCAAGCCAAGTCAACAATGTGCTTTATGCACCCATGAATGAATATTCAGCTAAAACACACGTTAAGGGCACAACTTAAATTAAATAGAACTATAACAAATGTGTATGGTGCGCCACCAATTTGAAATGGTGGCAGCGGTGATATCATCGATTCAGTCTGGCAATAAGGTCTTGTTTGAGTACATCTTGATCCCTTAGAAAACATGAGAAATAGGGTACAACTGACACACCGTAAGCCCGTGTGCGGAAATACATGGGTTTGTACGTTTGTCTCATTGAATATGTCGTGATACATTCGGACAATACACAATGGAGTGGATGACTGCATCAGTGCATAGCTTCGAAGTCTGTTTTTGCAAGAGTTAACATGATTAGAAACATTGATATCAGTAAACACTAGCGCAAAAATTCTGCTATATCGCGCAAGCTGCTTCAGCGACCTGTAGCTCACTTTGAATTGCCCGTTTAAGAGACCAGGAAGTTGCACTGGTGCGCAATACGTCCAGTACGGTGTTATGTAGGCGACGACAAACCATAAAATCAAGTAACGAGGCACAGCTGAAGACTTTAATCGTGAGACGTAGAATGTTAGTCTTCTGACTTTAGTGAATGTTCCATTCAAGTGCGTTGATCACGTGAGATGTCAACTTAGTGTAACTCCGAGACACGTCACTAATGTACCGGAGTTTAGACTGACACTACCAATACTAAGGTGTGGGTTGTGCGTCAGGAGCGGTTTGTAACCATTTTTTGTACTGCAAAATAATAACATGTTTACACTTTTGGTGCTTTGTGAAAAACAGCGGGATTTGGACCCGGAGCTGAGGTTGTACAAGAAGCATTGCAAGTTGGCCGATGAATACGTTGTGTGATTGTGTACCCGAATGATCACGTCATAAGCATACTTCAACAGGATGGCTTCATTTGAAGCGGGAATGGAGTTAATGTAGAAAATGTAAAAAATAGGAATGGGGAAAAAATAGCGCCCTGAGGAACATCTGCATTTGTGGTGAGTGAGGAAGAGCTTTTTCCCACCAATCTTGGTAAACTGCATACGATTGGCAAAGTAGTCTGTAAACAAAAGTACTAATGAAGTTTGAACTCCGGAAAGTAGCAGATCGTGTAACAGCAATACGCGGTTTTCACGACCGAACGCATTTCTGTAATCTAGGAAGCAGATCCGCGTAGGTTTGTTTGTACGATCGAGGGAGAAAAGCACAGAGTGTACAAGACAGCCTAATGCATCCAAATTGGACCTTGAACTACCATAGGCGAACTGGAGAGGATCACTTGAGTAGGTTTGGATAAGTCTTCTTTCGAGTATGATTCGTGCAAACGTCCTCAAAGCTACACAGATACAACCAATGGGCCGGTACTTAAAGGGTCCTTTTTTGGTACAGGTCTAATGTGGGCGCTTCGCCAACAGTCGACTATCTTGTGTTGATGTAGGCACATGGTGTACAGTTCAGAAAAAGGCTGTGCTAAGACACTAGCACATTTCTTTGGAACTATAGGAGATAGTCCGTCCGGACCGGGCGCTTTGCATGTCCTTATCCGTGTAAATTCCTTGGGAACTGTTATGCCATCTATAGGTGTGGAATGTTGTGGGGAGAGTTGCAACGGTAAAGATGGTAACTGCAATGCTGTGTCATTTATTTGATCACAAAAGTTGCGGTTTTAATTCCTCCACATCGAGAGCAGTGTGTGTGACACTTCTGACGACTCCACTCAGGTTCTTCATCATTTTCCATATTTCTCGGCAAGTATTCTTTCCAAGTATAGTTTGGACATAAATATGGTTGAGGCGGCACATTTCATTTTTATATCAGTCGACAAGGACTTTACTGAAGTGGCACTTTTGCGTCTGTAAGCTTTTTCTTTGAGTCTGCGCAATCTTTCAGGCACAGAGATGAAAATCTACCTGCGCGAATAAAAATGCTTTCCATAGGACAGCAAATATCGAAGCAAAAGTTTAACTAGCTGGTTACATGAAAATGATGAACTGTTGAGAGTTCATTGCCATCATGCGGTAAGCTACACCCGTCTGCTGGATAAGCGCTGTTTGTGCGAGGCGTGTCAAACCGCTAAAAGATGCACGCAAGAAATTAAGATTGCAATTAGCGAAAGAGATGATAGGTTGGATGAAACGTGAGTAGACATGGACAATCAGCTGAAGTTCGTATTTCACGAGAAAGCACAATACTTCCCCGTTCACTGCGAACATATGCCAGAATGTGGTAGTAACCTGTGGGAGAGAATAAGTTGGAAAATTCCAACCTGCAGTATAACAGGTGGTTTTGTGCTGGTTATGTTGAGACAAGTGGCTTGATCAACGCACTGCTGAACAATTAGACAGTTTGTAAGTATGTGGATATAAAAAGATGTTCACAGGCGTGACAGCCCATCTTCTGCAGCCGTATGTACCAAGTGTAGCTGACAGAGACTCGTGATCTGGTGGTCAAGTAGGCGATGCTATTTGTTTCTTGTACCACAATTCGCGGTTCAATAGTATGCTGTACGCATCAACCACGCAAATGGACTCAGACCGTTAAGCCACTACCACCCGTTGTGTGTACCAAAGACTGTGTGTTCGACTCGTATGACTTGCGGCCCAGGCGCCGGCGATGATGTAAGCTTTAAAAGCATGGTTAATCGAATCTCTCCTACTCGTCTTATGCTACTGCAACGGCCTACTCTTAAAAGCTTGAACTAATCTAAGACAAAATGGTCTACTCTAAGACGAACCATAATGTGGCCACTCATTGCAACAACCGCAAATCCAAGTGGAGGCAGTGTACGGCAAGTAAAATTAACCGACCACAAGAAATGCTATCATCCACCGATTTCAGTTTATTTTTTTAAAATTGATGTATCCAGGTATTGCTCTCAGTCGGCAAGTCACTAGTAACTTATTTTGACATTTGCTGTCCATGAGAAACATTGTACACCCATGTAACAGGTTCTCTTCCCATAACGTGAAGCAGCAACGTAGACAAAGGGAGAAAGCCTTAAAAGCGAAGGACAATACATTAGTAAAGTCACAATCTGTTCTTATAAAGGCGAAGTTGCGCTATCTCAACAGCATGTACGTTCCAGATATACTTGGGAATAGTAACTACCGGGAAGTTTGGATGTTGTTAAAACAACTAGGCGGGATTACTCGACGTCCATCAACCTCCGACGTAGATGTGGAGAAACTGAACCATGACTTCTACAATTGCTACAATAATCTGATCTCTGAAGCAACCTTTGCCCAGTTGAAATTGTCTGCAGACCAACTGCCCCATGTCAACAGCGATGCTGTATACAAGGTACTGAAAACGCTTCACTCAGGGAATGTAAGTGGTCCAGAGAGACTGTCTTCCTTTGTCCTCAAGCAACACGTTGAGTGCTTGCCCAAACTTCTGGCCACATTATTTACCTTAAACATACAACAACATGAAATTCCTGGCTGCTGAGGAACGTTATCATCAGAGCAATACCAAAAAGCAGTTCAAACAAATATCGCCCAATTGCTTGTACTTCGGAACCCTTAAAAGTGTTCGCTAGCATGATTCGCGATGGGATGCGGACACAATGTTCCTGATTGTCCGCTTCGAGGTCAGGCCAAAGTGCAGTAGCCTGTCTTTTGCGCTCGATTCTGTCATCACTGGACAATAAAATCAAGTCCACCCAAATCTGTTTTCTGTATTACTTTAACGCACTCGTCTGCGTAAATCGTGAATTGCTGTTGGAGGAGCAGCTCCGCACTGTAATTCATTCTTCCGTCGTTCTTATGTTGAGGGCTCCTTTCACCGGTCGGGCTCAAGTCACCCGATTTGGAAGCAGAAGCTTCTCGCCCCTAACCACAAACACCGGTGTTCTCCGGGAAGTTATTCCCTCATCAGTTCTATTTTTCAAATATGTCAACTGAATACCAGCCCTACGAGAGACAAATCTGCTGAAATAGCCAGATGATGTTGTCCTGGGTGTGAATCAACCACTGCCTCTTCAGTAAGAAAACCAGATATTCTTAACGATCTCACGTTGTCGTGAGCTGCCGCTTAACGTGTCGTTTTTCGCCATACATACGAGATCGGCATAAACACCTTCTCCAGCAATGGCCGGAACTCAAAACCGATGACAATAGGTCACACTCATCCAGAGCAATAAGGTACTTGGGTGTCATGCTGAGCTACGATTTATCTAGGTCACACTATATATAAAAACCAACGTACGCGAAAGTTGGAAGGTTATCACTCTACGCCTCACGGCTGCGAGCTTCCACTGTGCCGCATGATGTGATACTTCGTTTCGTTACTATCTGTGTTTTTCCACACTGGACGAGGCTGCTCACCAGTGATGTCTCTTGGTCTATTTGGCTAAGGACTTCAGATTAATCTCCAGGTCCCTGAAACACTTGTCGCGATGTAACGGTGTGTCAAAGCTGACGTTCCTTGATATACTTGTGTCCACCCATGTTGGTTCCCACAAGAGTCTGACCTCAACAGTATCCACCGATTTAAGTCACTCCTTTCATTGCGTATTTTCAATAGGTACGTCAACCTCGTTAATCAGACAGAAGTACAAGTCCATATATACCAGTTA